CACTTCTTTCTGTTTAGGAAGAGCAAAGAACTGAGTTGCAAAGCGTGGACTCCTAAGCTTATCGAGCACTATTTCCATGGTAAGCACAGCATTTATAACAAGTTCACGTGGGAACTTCAGCCCACCCCTTGTCATGCTCATAATGAGGACATTTTTAGCAGTGTCTATCTCTGCAACATCCATTACTAGGTTTTCTTTGCATGATTGGCACAACAGTTTCTTTAGAGCTGCGTGAGCACAGTAACCTGCAACATATGTCACAGCGGGCAGCCTTGTCACTTTGTTCTCAATATCACTGTCATTAACTGTGATGTCAAACTGGCTTAGCAGTGAGCTGGCACTAATGACAGGAATATCGCACACCATGTCAACGTCTGGCAGCTCGAGCACTTTCTGTAACCGCAGCTTTGTCTCAGACTCATATATCTGTCTAATTGACACATGATAGTTGGCCCCAGACAACTGACGGTAACGACCAAAGCGATCCTCGAGACAATCTGTTTGAAACTTGCCTAGCAAAACATATTGCATACCAAGCTCTTTGAGGCAGTAAATAGTAATCTCGTGGAGCGCGTGAGTTGTATGACAGAAAGCTGAGTGCGTTTCCCTCGTCAAATGTCCTGCATCGTGCTTCAAACTTTCCCAGTAGTCTAGCCACTGCATTGTTTTCTCCAAATGCTGTAACTGGAGGCAAGATGTTGAGGTTATAGGCTTTTGCAGGTCATCTGAAAGCCTCTGGCCCTTTCGTGGTGTCTTTACATTAACAATATTCCACCATGTTAGCAGCGTGTTTATGTACAAAGCTGTACTGTCAGCGTGCTGAAGGTTGCTATTGTGAAGTGCTGCCACAGTTGATGAATTAAAGATTCTCAATGCCAACTTTACATCTTGTCTCTCCATGTTAGAAGGATTTAATGCCTTTAATGACAATGTCGGAGCCATCTTCAAGAGCTCACTTTGTTCAGACTCATGCAGCTCACATAAAGTCTTGAACGATGCGGTTAAAATCTTGGGTTTGGCTTCTGTACTCTTTGGATCTGGGAAATACATGCACCTTCCTGCATTGCGCTGATTTAACCAGTTATTTCTGATACATTTCAATAAGTGGACAGGGTCCACGACAAAAAACAAAGGTCGCGATTGGTCAGCTGGATGTTTATAAACTATCTGTAGTCTTGGAGGGCTTGAAAACAACGACATTGTTTTCCTGTTGATAGAATTGTTGTCAGAGATGATAGCAATCACTTTAAACCCATTATGCTCGAGCTTTAAAACTAGCATTCGCAAAAAATCATGCAAGCATTTTGCATCAATTGTAGCGACTGGCAAAATATGCACAACATCTTTGTGATTAGAAAGCAGACTCTGGGTCATAAAGACATATGCTGTTTTAGCCGGGCTTGCAGTGTTGGCTGCTGCACCTGTTATTGACCCAGCTTTGAAATCAAAGTATGACTGAATGTGAATTTCATCCATCATTAAAGTTACTATCTTTTCATGTTCTTTCATTGTAGTAGCAACCTTTTTAGCATATGACAAAAAATAAGAGTCTTGCTGCTCCATGGCTGGGCTTATTTGTTGAGTGGTGCAGAGACGTCTTATTGTTTCAGGATGAGGCAACTTTACCTTCAGTGAACCTATAAGGAATCTGTATGCATGCGGCGAAATGGTGTAGAGGAGACTTGCAAATACTAACAGGTCTGGCGGGTAGCGCGCTGCATTATTAAGGATGAGCTGCACTTGGGATTTTATAAACTTCACAATTTCCAGGGGCCATCCATGAAGCTTATGTTGCTGATCATTGCATATGAGCTCCTCCAACAGTGCCATCACAGTCGCAAGTAGTTGACGAGCCCACTGAAAATTGTTGGAAGAATGAGGAGTGCGCAGACACTCAACATGATGAAGGATGTCACTTAGTTGCCGCAAGTCCTGTAACTGAGCAGGCACACTTACACCATCAAGCACCACTACGCGCGTTTCACCAAAGTACACTTCCACACACATGCTGTCTTGAACTATCACCGATGAACGCACAGAGGCACCCCGATCAACAGTCAAATCCAGGAATAGAACCTTTGAGTCCATGCTGACCACAGACCAAAACGGTGAGGTGTTAAAGCTTGGCAGAGCACGAAGAAATTCTGAAAAGCTTGTAACTTTGTTCTGCTTGTCTTGTTGTTGCTTTTCTTCCAGAGATTTTTCAATGGCAATGCGGAGTGATTCGTCCTCAAAACGTTTTCGTTTCTCCTCTGGTGCCTCCCGAGTACACGCATTTTGACGAGAGAGGTATTGAGGACAATTCGGGAACACACTTGGTACCGCATCAGGCTTCAGCCGGAAGACTTTCAGTGGCACTTCAATAGTCTTCCCCGTCTTCACATCAGTGTACTTTGACGTTTTCACGTAGTCGCTGGACACGAAATGCTTCTCGCAGAGCTGAAAAGACAAAAAAAAAAAGGATTATGTGGGACCACGTTTTATACACTGTCGAAAGCGAGACGGTTCTTTTCGACTTTTGATGAAACCAAAATATGAGCACGTTTCAGGCTCCGACCATTCAGCCAGGCCGATTAGGCTGGTGATCGATACGCTCAGCCGCTAAAACGCGCATTGCGTAAAAGTTTTTTTAGCTTCTCCATGGTGGATGGATGCTATGAGCGTCCCCTGTGTAACGGGGCGGTGACATGTGCGCCACCAGGCTCATAAAAAAAATTAAGAACTTTTCATTTTTTTCCCTCTCTTTAAGTTGTCCTCATGCCTTTTAAATCTACTTCAATTAAATCGATTATGGCAGAAACGTAAATTCACAGCCCAGTCTGCCCCTTATGGGAGAAAGTCGTTATTTTTCCCTATAATTATTATTACGGTATACCTTGGACATCTTGCGACGCTTCGTGCAACCACAATTATAGACACGTTTGTTTGTTTTCGCGTGGTTTCCTTCAGGAAAAAGATATAAAGGTCAGCTCAATCGATAATAGGCGGCCGCCGCGAATTTACCCGTTAGGGAAATGGAATGCAGTAGATTGCTGCAAAAACAATGCTAAGCTTGCCTGGTTCATCTTGACCCCGCTAGATGACCACACATATTTAACATTCCACGTTTAGGGCCATGGTACCCGGTATAACGCTAATGCAAAGCAGTTTGCGGAGACACTCTCTAATGACAAGCACTGTATCGAATTATAAGCCGTATCTTACCACTGTGTTCTTTGTAGGCGCAAAATCCTTTCGGGGAACCGCTCTTGTCCATGCCGCCCGCCGCACCGGGTCGTTTGGAAACACGTGCACGCGCACGTTTGGCTGTCCTGCGTAGTTCGACCTGCAGTTCGGAGCGCTACAGCAGCCGGGCATTTCTGCACTTCGTTCACACGCACAACCACAGCGAGGAATCGGAAATATACATCTTGCAGGAGTAAACAAAGCACATGCACGCGCGCAAGCCAACCAACGACATCCGAATGCAAGCGAGAGGACGACCCCAACTGCTCCAACGAGCAACTTGGATCATTGTGGTCAGCATAGGTGAAACGAAATTCGACGGAGACGCATGGTAATGCGGCTGCTTAATAATGTTTTACCAATTCGGCGTGCCATTTTTTCAGAATACAGTTGGCTAATTGAAACAGAGTAGTTAAATTCTGCAACTTTTGGCAATGTTTGAGCCCGAATCACTGCAAAAACTAAAAAAAGAATGAGTTATTTTGGTTCTAGTCAGTCACTGCGGATGTCACTACGAGCCATCTGTAGCTGTTCTTGTCCGGACTTGTCAGCCTGCTTGTTCACGTGACGCAGACGTTGGCGAGGCTGACTGGGCTGTCGCGCCGTCGGTCCCAGCCAACAGGTGGCGTTGCCCCAGCCATCCGAGCGATGATCTGAGCTTGGTGACGTAGGCGCTTGGGCGAGGAGGCGGCGAGGGGGCCTTAAGTCTTCTAGGTGGTGTTGGTCCGATCCCCCTTCGACAAAGGAACAAGTTACTCCAAGTCTGCAAAAAAAAAAAAAATTACACTCATCTCATTCATGTATGCTGAACATTCGTATAGGACTGCGCCACGTTGCGTACACCATCCACCAGCTAAATGTAAAAAGAGAATGGAAACAGGGCTGGTTGTTCTCGCACCTTCCTGACCCATTCCTCCGACAGACAAACGGCCGCTCAGAAGCACACCAGAGCACAAACATAAAGAAGCGGATGGGTTCCTAAAATACTCTCCTTCCACGCCTGCCTCACGCTTTCTGGCGAGCTCTCGCGAGCAAGCAAGCAAGCCGACACTGTATGCGCGTCGTTTCTTTGCTTTTCGCCGGCTTAGCGAGTCTTCTCTGCTGCAAGCATCGACGATGATGATCCCCGCCTGCTCCTCCGCCTCCTCCTTCATTTCTCCTCGGAGGAAGAGGAGACCGCTCGCTTTCCCAACTGATTCCGCGAAGTGGCGGCAGCAGCTCGTCCTGTGACGTTGCGCGTGACGTCTCCCCGTTCAACCTCCGGCCGAGCCAATGGACTCCGCCGTGGCGTAGCTTCATTCACATCGGCCCGCTCGGTGATCAGCAGCGCCCCCCGTGTGCCGCCGCACCGGCTGCTCTGGAGTGCTCCCCCCTCGCCATCTCCACTACTCGTTGCCTCTTTCAGACCAGCGTTCAGACGCGAAGCTCCGATTCCCGTACGGGACGTTCGTTCTCTCCCCTCGCCCTCCGCACAAGCGTCCCGTCCTGTAGTTCCACTTGATCGTCGCAGTTGGTTTCGGGTCTTATCTCCACGGCGGGCGATCGCCCTCTCTAGCCTTCTTTACGAGAAACACACACACACACACAAAAATAAAAGAGGGAGTGCATAACAAAGTGAGAAAGAAGTTTCTGCTTCGAGAGTTACCGTGCATTACACACGCAACGTCAGGTTTGTTTTGCTGTTTGGAGCTGCCGGTGAGAGTCCCAGTCGGTGGAGAGGAGGACCGCGCCCTTTGGCGCGCGTGAGCGAGCGAGCGCCGCTGTCGGAACGGCGCGCACACACTTTCTTCTCGGGCCTCAGTCGAGCGAGGTTGCCCCTCTCGATCTGACGTGGTTCCCTACGTGCGTGCGTTCGTTGAGTGCCTCGCTTTGGTCACTTCGCCGAGCGTGCTTTGCCTCGGCCGTCGCCGGGCCCCATCCACGACCTCCGAGCTTCGCCACCCTACACTTGGTTTTCGGGAACGTACGAACCAGGCCCACCACCGACGCCCCGTGTCCGAACTTCTGGATGGAGAGCTGTTACGGATTGAGAGAGTGAATACGCCGTGCCGCCGTTACGTGTCACCGGGTGACGGGTGGAACACTTGGTGGCGGAGAGAGGCGCGCCCCATCGCGCGTCGGTTTGTGTGTGTGTGCGCGCGTGTGTGTAACGACCCGGCGGCGAGACGTCTAAACCCGGCTGTCTGCTTTGGCGTGTTAAGCCTAAGGCAGGGTTGGGTGGCCCCGGGCTGGCAACTGTCAAGTTGCTGGGTGAGTTGACTTTGTGTAGCTCCGACTCTTTCCCCTAAACATCTCATGCTTGCCTTCTCCTGTATTGTGCACATACGTGCTTCATCGCAAAACGAGAACATTTCTCTGGTTGGTTAAGGATTTAAAGCTTCGCACAGTGATATCGTATAACACGTTAAACCGCTATGCTCTTTTACAGCAGCTGGAAAGTGCACGTAGCAACTATTAGTCAAAGCGATGAGCACTCGCGAGTGTCATTGGGCTTCACTGGTTGATTTGAAACGGTTAATGTAATATTTGTATACTATTTCACATGTGCACACACTTCTTGCTGGTATCGCACCTGGGATCCTGAATTCAAACAGGCTGGTTTCACTCAGAAGCAACGGGAACTACCTTAGAAGGAGTTGTGCCATGATTCCATGGCGAGACATTTAAGCAATATGGACACCTGCCAGATTCAATGACCGTAAACATAGAAAGTGGTAGACGTAGATAGCTCGAAAACATCATAATCCTTGTTAACCATCGGCTTTCCAGATTATTTTGTGTGGCTCAATATGCTTTTGCCCGAATTCTTCATTTTCAAGTTTACACACGCGTGCTTATCTTATATTGCCGAAGCAAACCACAGCGTGCAGAGAATGACAGTGGCTTGAATTTCGTACTGCTTGCTGATGATTTTGTTATAATGGATGTTGGGCCACGAACGCTAATACAAGTTTTTTCTTAGCGAAACACCGCCACGATTCATCGTTTAAAAAAACCTTAGCTATACCATGCGGCGAGCCAGTTGGGACGTCATTGGGCTGGCAAGCTCGACGTCGCTCTTCCTATGCATGTCGTCCGTAATGTGACGTAGCCGGAACCCGGTAGTGCAGGTGTGTGCTTGCGATTGTACTACGGGGCTTCCTGTAGTAAGGCCCTTTTTGCCCACTGTAGGTCTTTCAGTTGTTGCGTGGGTGGAACTTCGGTGAAGGCGCGAAGGTGCATGAGAAATAGTTAATGAACGTAATAACTGCGGGAAGGAAAGGTGTTCAGCGTAGGTTTACGTGTCACTGATAGATTAATTAGCCAACTAAAGCCGATATTAATAAGTGGAGCAAGGTTATATATATATATATATATATATATATATATATATATATATATATATATATATATATATATATATATATATATATATATATATATGCAGGCATGGTGGTTGAGTGGCCGTAGCGTTGCAAGTAGATCCTGCGTGAAACGTGGTTTATTTCGACGTTTCAGCCAGCGTGGAGGCCAGGAGTGAAATCCTGATGAAAGCCAGACCCTGGCTGAAACGTCGAAATAAACCACGTTGTGACTGCTCACGGAGGATCTACTTGACTATATATATATATATATATATATATATATATATATATATATATATATATATATATATATATATATATATATATATATATATAATATATATGCAGCTACAGAGCAGTTATTAGAAGTTCAGATGTCTACGCCAGGGAATGGGCCTGTGAAATGTGATTAGAAACGTCAAAGGCGTTGGCTCGGAGGCACATGAACCATTTCAGGGTTAACTCGGGATGTCTTACACTGGGTGTGTCTTACCTTGCGGACATGCGTGGCATAAGGACGAAATGCTTAGGTTAAAGGGTGTGTTAAAGAACCCGGGAGATCGAAATTAAGCCGCACACCTCAATTCTATACCGCTTCTCTATACTGCAGACAGTGTTGATTGGATGCGTGCGCTTCAAGTCAACCTTATTGACCGTACAGAAGGGCGACTCTCGCGCAGGATCGGGGATAACATTCTCGTTATGAGAACTTAGTCATCGATTTGGATAGCCCAGCGCTCGACGTCGCAGACGGGAGAAGCCTTGGAAGAAAGCTACGCGGGCGGACGCCTGCGTCGCTGGGAGTTGTCTGCCTGCTTCTGTCGCTATATCAGCTCGCTCGCCGTTATTATTTCACCTCCACAGCCGCCAGCGCACTACTCCGACCTTTTGCAATCGAGAGGCAAACCGCGGCGTTGTTTTTGTGCGCCGATGCTCGACTCGCGATGGTTACCGGGCACGCAGCCCACTAAATGTGCCGGTATTTCCATACGCCGGGGCAATGCGCGTAAGCCGCGGGCATCCCTTTCATTTTCAGCGGAAAGCCCATCAAGCCGTCTCGCGCGCTGGACCGCACAAAGTCCCGACTGCCGGTGCTGCACACCATAGGTTTGAAACTTGCCTCAGCTAGCGGCCCGCAATAGCGAACTTAAAGGGGGTTGTGAAACGCTCGCTCTAAAAGCGACAATGCGAAGCCACCGGCGTCCACACACACTAACTTAGTGACGTCATCATAAGTAATGCCTATCGAGGAACGCAGAACTCTTCGGTACTTGCGAGTGCGTGAAACCGGGACACCCATCAGCGTCTTTGCCATACGAAATCGGCACTACCTTGAACTCTGAAGTCATATGATGTTGTTGTCTTTTGATTGTTGAAACCTTGTATTCAAATTTAAAGTTTCTTCAGGTATTTTACATGTCGTACATTAGTTTTGTTTATGTCCTCTACAGTTTGCTTCATTTGTCGGACACGCATATGCTTTATTGATTTCATTGCCTGCGCAAACTTTCGCTCATTTATGTTTTCCTGTACATGTTTTGCTTGTGAAAACTTATTTATGCCTAATTTCTTATTGACTCTTTACTTTACACTGAGCACTGTGTTATTTTGGTGGGTTTTGAGTTTACAGGGGGCAGGCGCTTTGTCAGGCTTTTATGCCTTTTCGCTGGTCCCCTAAGCAAATTGTACCTTTCTTCTCTTTTTTTTTTGCTTTTGCCTAAAATCAACTTAAACTTCGTATTAAGCAGCGTTCTTGTGGGACGCAGATCGCGTATGGCAGACGCTGATGAGCGCCTCTTTCACGCGCTCGATATGCCATATATAGCTCCGCGTTCCTCGATAGACAAAGCGTCTATGCAGGTCCACTCGGGCTGATGATATAGTTGGCGCATGTGGCTGCCGATGGTGTCGCATTGTCGTTCCAGAGCGACTGTTTCACGACCCCTTTAAGCCCGGCAAGGGTCGAGAAGGCAGGTGCAGAGACGGTGGTGGCGGGAGTTGAACGATAAGCCTGTCACTGTTGTCATTTGAAAGATACGGGTTCTTTCCGAAGAGGATTTGACGTCAGGATTCAAGAAGACTAGAAGCTCCAGCTTGTTGAGCTGAGAGTTTGAAGCCACTATTTTTCTACACGTTTGGGCAATGCGCGAAAAGAAATCCCGTAAGACACTAAAAGTCTTAGCGCTCGCTTTCCTTCGTAAGGTCACAACGCACACCATGAAACCGTGCGAGGCACCATGCTTTACAAGTGGCCATCTTATGATGAAAACACAGAAGTAGAAGAGAGCTTTTAGGCCTGACATGTGCGCATAAATGTGTGAGGTTCATAGGCTCTCTCGCATTCGGATGTCCACCAAACCAGATTTAGATTCGCCGGCTGCGCCGTTTGAACACACTATACGTGGCGACACCTTGTACATGTGGTATCGCTTCGACTGACATCATCAACGCCGCGTTATTATGCCTATCCCATTATCTTATTTTTCTGATTTACCCTGTCTTTATTGTACAACACGATGGTACCAGTGGATTGGTTGCATTTGGGAGTCAATGCCGAAGTCTTTTTTTTTTTTTCATTGTCACTGTAAGTGGACGCTGCGAACAGTGGCATGTCCTTGGCATGTAATGGGAGACGCGTCTTGATCCCGATCAAACGCTGACGTGTGTACGTTTGGCTCCGGCTACTTACCGTGTTATGACCACCTCTTCAGGTCCTTGGACCCTGGATCACACATCACACCAACTGTAAGTGGACCTGGCACCCATTCGACCCCTTGTTGGGATGTGATAATGCTCCTTGAGAACAGTGCTGACTGTTTATTGTTCAGCTCGACCGCTTCCGCGCTAGGCCTAACCGCCGGCCTAGTATGAGTGGAGGCGCCCAGCGCGACGCGGCCAGCGTCGCAGCGGGCGTCGCTGCTGGAGGCGACGCCGCTCGCTCATGGCGTGCTCTACATGCTGACCTTCGTCCCACTGGTTCATCGGCTGACACCTGCGCAGCGGATCTGAAGAAACCATCTTCATGGGAGCCTAAACCTCCACCACTGCCCGATGCGGACTACAAGGTGATTCTTCGGATACGCGGGGGTCTCGACTGTACCAAGTTGCACCCCTGTGTCTTACGACAACTCGTTCTCAAAGCAGTTGGACTTCCCATCAGCAGCCCTGATCAAATCAGGGTCAATCCCACCAGTCACACAGTGCTCGTGAGTACGTCAAGCATGGACCGAGCAGATTTATACCACAACATCCGGACCTTAAAGTTCAACGGAGTCCCCTACGAAGTCGTCACCCACGTTGCCGACCCTGTAGATTCTTGTCGTGGAAGGTTTCATCTCCCTCTGGATTACGCTGACGAGGAAATCCTTCCAACCCTCCAAAGATGTAATCCAGCCATGACCATTGGGGCCGCTCGCCGACTGAGCACCACCGAAACCATCTTGGTTGTTTTCCGTGGCACGCACGTCCCTTTTTACATCAACTACGAAGGCTGCACGCTTCGCTGCCGCCCATTCCGACTGAAGGTGGAAGCCTGCACCCGTTGCCGAAAAATTGGACATCGCCAGGATGTCTGCCCCTCTACTCCCGATGCAATCTGTCACAAGTGCGGACTGAAGGATTCCTCAATGGACCATGAATGTGAACCCGTCTGTGTCGTGTGTGGTGGAGCTCACATCACCGGTTCCCCATTGTGCAAACAGCGTTACAAGACTAAGACACCTAAATACCAGACACCTAAGCCCTCAGAAGTTCCATCATCCCGGACACCGAGCCTTAATCGCTCGCAAGAGCGTGGCCCACAGCGGGGTCGCAGCAAGAGCAAGAGGCGGGGCCCAAACTCGACTCCCAAAGAACTTGACTTCCCGACCCAGTCAACGAACCCCCATTCCACCAGTCATCTGCCAA